CACATGTCCCAAGATAAACAATAACACAGGCACTCGATAAGATAACTCACGACGTATCCATGCAGATATACACTTGCTAAAAACATTCTTAAGATAGACTACGTGACAATATGCAGGTACGGCGTGATGTTCCAGTCCCGGGGTATGGGTGTGAGTACTAATACTTTAAAAATTCAATGAGGAGAGCTAAAGATTATTTGATTGTGTATATTGCGGGTCGTACGTGAAATTTTAAGTTAAAGTTTGATAAGCTCGAATTTTCTGTTTAAATTGTGTGGGCTTTTGTTTCTTGGTCATTTTTTTTTGTTATAACCGAGCCTTAACGACTCGTTTCGATCCTATGTAGGGACGCTTATGCAAAAGGTTGTTTTTTTTTTTAAACAAAGAGATAAGGTCTGAAAAGGGCTTTGCTGTTATCGGGATTATATTTCAATGGATATTTTGTTGGGGTGGACTCGAGCTATATTTTAAATCTAACTGAACTTATTGACTATAACGGGAAGGTTAAAAGGTATGGTTAGTAGGGGGGTTAAGTGCACTTAACTTAAAAGATGTAGATCGTAGCTGTACAACTCCTGAAGGTATATCCCGGAGTGAAACGAACACAAAAGTTCTATCTACAGGATATACACCGTAAATTCCTCTAAGGCTTGGGTACAGCACGGTACGGATACACTTCAAGCAAAGGCACTGATGAATTTCTAAATCTATTTAAATTTCCTATCTATTCAGGGTATTAAGCTGTTGGTTTTTTTTCTGATCTTTCTAGGGTCTCTGGGTGTTAAGCAGTTGGGTACTTTTTGGATTCTCTGGGCGATTGGGCTGATTTCTCTGAGGAGTGCGGTGGTGATCGGTTGGAAGTCGAATTGGTGAGGGAGGGAGAGGTTGGCCGATGATGATGATGATGATGATGATGATGATGATGATGATGATAGTTTTCTGTCTCCGTGACTCGGGCAGAGTCCAATCGACGTCCGTCGATTCTCTGGCGACTTAAGAGGGGGTGCTCCCCTCATTGGTTGGAGTCGTCTAAGGCGTGATGGTTCACGGTTTTTTGGGGACGACTCCCTGGTCTGATGTTGAGTTGTTGTGTCTGGACTTCTGGAGGAGGAGGGGGAGCGGGTTCCTTGTCTTTAGTCCTGCCCAACATCCAGGCTGTCCTATTGTTTCGGTTTTTTTTGTTTTGTTTTTTTTTTGTTTTGTATGAGAAATTTTTAAGTCTTTTTTAATAGAGTAAAACAGATCGGTTATATACCAAATGTTTTTTGTGCTTCGATCTACTGGGGGGCTCCTGGGCGGCGTTAGGCGCCTACTCTTGTTTTCGAAAACCGGAGGAGGATCTTTTATATGCGAGATTGGACAGTTCTCACACAGGCCGGACTATAGATCGTAGTTGGTAAGGTGCAGGTTGTCACTATGAGTCCCATCTGGTTTTTCGTTCCGTTCCTTCTTGTTAGCGAGATTGTCCGCTTTTCGAAATGTCTATAACTTTCTTTAATACCATTCTGATCCTATCCTATACATATTTGTTTAATGCTGGATTAGAAAATAGTCCTATCTGTCCTCTCTGTAACTTGGAGAGACAATCATCCATACTTTGTGGGAATGTCGAGAAACTCAGAAATTTTTGGTTAATGTTGAAACTCTTCTTGATGCACTATTGATTCCATTTTCTTTTAATAAGAAAAGCTTTATTTTTGGGGTAACTTCAGATTATGACAATGCTATAGGAAACTCCGTAGATAATGAAATTCTGATCATGATTAAGTTAAATATATATATATATAACAAGATGTATACATAAAATATTAAATCCAAATATTCTGATAAACTCAATCAAAGAGTATTACACATTTCAACAAATATATTGCTAACAGCAAAGGTGATCTTGCACAACATAATTTAGAAAAAATAAATGGAGAAGATTATTAGACTTAAGTGATATTTAAGCTTTAATCGGTACTGATATGATCTGCCATCAAGTTTTTCTTACACTCATGGATATCAAATAATTAAAGTGTTCATGCCAATGACCAGTACTGGAGAGAGAAAACGCCTAAATGCTTGTGTGAAGTGACTTCAGTGTGTTTACGTTACGTATTGAACGCAATATGGAATGATTATGGACATTGCCGTTTTGTAATGTGATTTTGTTCATGTACATTTACAAATATGCCGTACTGTGCAGTTTCTAATTGCAAGAGCAATTCGAAAATCGACAAAGAAGTGTCATGGTTCTACATGCACATTAGTTGATTTGTAGAAGCTGATAAACAAAAACGAACCACTTCAATTATATTGTATTTTCATTTTTGGAATATAATGATGAACATACCTTAAATATTTTAATCAATATTGACTAATATGTACCAGGGTTTATTAGCTAGGAAAGTAATTGACATCAGATGATAGCGTCTATGTCACAATTTAAAAATTATACTTAGATGCAATATATTGCCTTTACAGATTAATTTTCTTTAGATTTAAAATTTTAATGGTTATCGGTTCAAAGATCACCTATTGAAGTTTCAAATTGTAACTGCATTTATAATGTGTTGTGGAAGGCTGTTCCATAAATTCACACTCCAATCACTGAAAAGGTGTTTTCTTCAATCAAGTTGGCTTTGTTTAAAAATATTTTCTTAGAATGGCTACTTGTTCTACTCTCATCAATATTGTCAATATTTTATTATACATGCACTACATGTGAGTCCATTAATATTTCTACAGGTTCTTCAAGACACATTTGACAACAATGCCTGCATGACTACAGTGACCCTAGGAAATGATCTACTAGAACCAACATTTAGTAGTCCTGCAAACTGTGACTTTAATACACAAGTCAACTTGATTCCATCAACCAGAACATGCAGGATACAAGTTGGAAAGTCTTCAGTCAATGTTAAACATATGTCTGTTGCGACACAATGCACAATAGAAGGACTTCAAATTGTACATGTAAGTGTAGAGAGAGAGATATTGAAGAAAGTGCTAGTGATATGTCTTGTGAATTTGATTCTCAATTAGATGTTTTAACGAATCCAGGGCAACTTCTGATTTAGACTAGTTTTGATTTTAATATGGACTCAGATGTTGATTTTGACCCTGACAACATGTATGCCAGCGAAGATGATGAAGATGAAAAACTAGAAAACTATATACTTAGTTGTACTACCATTCAAAATGAGGAAAGGTATTATGTTGTGGCAGAGTCATCTTTGCTTGATTTATTGAAAATCTGTAGAACCAAGAGACCATTCCCATCATAGAGTACAGCCGAGGAACCATGATTTCTGTTGTGTCAACATGCACTGTTGGACACATTAATAAATGGACATCACAGGCCATGCACAGAAAGATGCATTGGTTTAATTTACAACTGGCTAGCGCTATCCTCACCAGTGGGTCCAATACATCTAAAGCTTTAAGATGTCTCAACCAAGCCAACGTCCAGACCATGAGCACAAGGACAGTGTCGCGGGTCCAGACTTTGTATACCATTCCAGCCACCATGAAGGTGTACAAAAGCCAGCAACTTCAGATTCTGAATAGTTTGAAAGGTAAATAGGTCTTTTAATACCTCTACAATGTTCATGTAGCATATATATTTGTGTTTGTGTGTGTATGTTCTGAACAAAGATGTGTCCTTTACAGCAGGTTTGATTTTCCATGTACAATGTAGCTATATGCGAGTACAAACAGTTGCCCAGTCAATTGTTTTCTGATTACAGTATATGTAAAATATCCATGCTAACAGTACATATTTAATACATCATAACTACATGTAGTATACGTAGCTTGTTAATATAATGGTGCATATGGCTTATTCTTGGCAAACAAAGCACATATCACACTTGGAGGAGATGGACGTTGGAAAAAATCCTCTATTTTCACATCTCCATACCACTTGTTCTTTTCCTTCAAAAATGTTATTGCATTCTCAAGACGACCAGTATTTACAAAATGGTAGTCATAATGACCTTTGTATGAGAGGAGCTTCCTCTTTAATTTAACTTGAATCAATTGGTTATCACTTTCGCATCTTGGTAAATTTGTGACAGACGTGTTGATATCAGCAGGGACACATACAACTGGACCATGAACTCCATGTTGTCCACCCTTTGGCAACGCTATAATTTTCATAAATGGTACAATGACTGATATCAAATGTGTTTCAATCGGATTTAAACACTGGAGTTGGCTTTGAATAACCTTGGTTTCCATTTTGTTTATTGCAGCCTCAGACGGAATGTTTCCTTCCAACAACTTTCTGTGACATGTAAAACAAATCCATGATGTATACATAGATGAACACTGATGATTTTCTTCCGTTGCACAAGGATTCACATACCTGTCAATTATGCATAGTTCCGCTACTTCGGTACTTTTCGATCCCTTTATGATGTGTCTTTTTTTTTACATCTAACCACCTGTTTTCTAAACAACAGTTTATGACAGACATAACAAATGTGGTCTGGAAATTCCTTAACAACTTTTGTAAAATTATTGATTACAACATTTATGTCATGCTTTTGGTTTTCCAAGGCATTTCTCGATTTCTTTGATGCATTTATCTTATTCTGTTTGTGATTTTCATTGGTCTCATATTTTTTCTTTGATGCACACTTCACATGATCTCTGAACTCTTTATCGGTCCCTTATTTTTTCTTAACACTTCACATGATCTCTGAACTCATCATCGCACTGATATTTTCTCTTTGATGCATTTATCTTATTCTGTTTGTGCTCTTCATTGGTCTCATATTTTTTCTTTGATGCAGATTTCACATGATCTCTGAACTCTTTATCGCTCCCATATTTTGTCTTTGATCACTTCACATGATCTCTGAACTCTTTATCGCTCTATTTTGTCTTTGATGCACACTTCACATAATCTCTGAACTCATTTCTTTGATCTTATTCTGTTTGTGCTCTTCATTGGTCTCATATTTTTTCTTTGATGCACACTTCACATGATCTCTGAACTCTTTATCGGTCCCTTATTTTTTCTGCGATGAACACTTCACATGATCTCTGAACTCATCATCGCACTGATATTTTCTCTTTGATGCATTTATCTTATTCTGTTTGTGCTCTTCATTGGTCTCATATTTTTTCTTTGATGCAGATTTCACATGATCTCTGAACTCTTTATCGCTCCCATATTTTGTCTTTGATGCACACTTCACATGATCTCTGAACTCTTTATCGGTCCCATATTTTGTCTTTGATGCACACTTCACATGATCTCTGAACTCTTTATCGGCCCCATATTTTTTCTTTGATGCACACTTCACATGATCTCTGAACTCATCATCGGACTGATATTTTCTCTTTGATGCATATATCTTATTCTGTTTGTGCTCTTCATTGGTCTCATATTTTTTCTTTGATGCACACTTCACATGATCTCTGAACTCTTTATCGGTCCCTTATTTTTTCTGCGATGAACACTTCACATGATCTCTGAACTCATCATCGCACTGATATTTTCTCTTTGATGCATATATCTTATTCTGTTTGTGCTCTTCATTGGTCTCATATTTTTTCTTTGATGCAATTTTCACGTGATCTCTGAACTCTTCATTGCACTGGTATAGCCTCTTTGATGCATTTATTTTATAAAGTTTATGCTCTAGATTGGTCTCATATTTTAGCTTTGATGCAGTTTTCACACTTTCTCTGAACTCGTCATTGCACTGGTATTTTTTCTTTGATGCTATTTTAACATTTTCTCTGTGTTCTGTGTTCGAACGATATTTCCCAATTGAAGCGTTAATCTTAGACTCTTTATATCCTTTGTCTTCTGCATATTTCTTTTTTGAACTTGCTTTTTTGAGATCCCTGTAATTTGTGTCTAGCGTATACTTTAATTTCATTTTATCTATTTTGCTAGTCTCTTCTGAATTATAGGAATTTCTAGTTCCGTAATCTGTACTTCTATTTATTACTCCTGCAAGGTCATTCTTTCTTCTCCTTTCTCTCATTTCAAATTTTTTATCTAATTTGTTTTTCTCATAAAGTTTTCTTTTCATTTTTGTCTTGGGACATGATAAAACTCTAATATCTTTAGTAGTTTTAATATCTTCTTCCGTTGGTACTGAACCTTCACTTTGATTCGATATATCTCCAACATCAGTATCAATACGTAAATGCTCCCTTTTGGTCTTGACTGCTGTAACTTCAAAACGATCGTGCGTCTGATAATGCATTGATGACGCTAACCGAATGCAATGATCATAGACATCTTGAATTGACAATCGTTTCACAATCACACTTGCTCCACATTGTACTTGCAAACCTTCAAGATTTCTTGAATGTGAATCAAAAGTTAAATATATACCAGACTCCTTAATTATAGTGAACGTGTTCCCTTTAAAGGTGACCAAAGCGGCATCACTCTCGGACTGATTTAACGCAATATGCAATGCTTCATCAAGTGTTACGAACAGGAACATATCCAAATCTTGACCTGTATAACCAAGAGTTCCTTCCAGTGGTTCTTGAAATTCAAAAGTTGTATGATTTGTTATAACATTCTAATACTCTTGGTATTTCATTTATTGAAACCTAATCGTGATGCATTGTAGAACTCTGTTGAAGAAACCCGTACAATTCGTTTCCCTTGATCAGAATGTGGTCTAAATCATCACTTGTCCATGTATTCAGATTTTTCTCTCGACTGTACACTACAGCTGCCAAACTGTTCATCACACACTGTTTCCCTGAATTTTCTAAAAACCTAGGATGACCTTGATGAAAACTTCCCAGAACAGATTCATTCATCTGTATATTTGATTCTAATATGTCTAGATGAGTGCGTCCATGTTTACACTGGCTTTCGTCGGACTGAACATGTTTCTTGTCTACCAATTCTAAACAATATTTTTTCTTGGACTGTTTGGCGGATTTAGCATGAGGATTTGTTTCTCTAGTAACACTAGCTCGGTTACAACCAGCAAATGTTTCCACATTTCAATCTTCATTTTCTACGTCAACAACTACATCGTAATGTGCTCGATATATGTGTATCAAATATATAGCCTCTTGTTCTACATCACTGGAAGGATCTACCTGTTTTGCTGAGAATTTCAACCAAGACGATATATTTTCTTCATAAATGTATATATAAGTATTGAGAAAATGACTAGCGGCCAAGATCACTACTTCCGTAGCCCATGAACCATTTTCAAGCATCTTTTTCTTCATTACCCAGTCGCTAACAGATTTATAACCGGATCTTAAATGACTGTCGAATTGATCACCATTTTTGACCATGTGGATAACCATGTTACGTCTAATCTTTCTATGGTGTCTTTCATTACCGGTAAGACAGTAGGACAGTGCTCTAAAAAAATAGTTACCATTACCACATATACTTTTTTCCTGTTTTGGTTTACCCAAGCTTTTGCAAGAAATAATTTCACTTTCTGAGCAAAATTCACTTGTTATGCCAACTTCTTTTATCAATTTCTGCTTTGTTGCAGGAGACACTGGATGGAAAGTTAATACTGCTGGTCCTGTACCACCTTCAAACACAACTTCATCCTCCTCACTTGCTTTTGCTGAAACATCCTTTTGGCACAAATTTTCATTTTGCTCCATGGTAGAAGTATCACGCAATACAAAGTTCCTGTCATCATTACATGATAGCTGTTCTATTCGGTCTTTTATCTTAACTTACATTTTCTCGCTAATAGACATCACATCCTGTTTACTTTCCTTCAATGTCTTTTTCTCCACACATGGTTGGTAATGCTTTCTGGTTTTGGGGGCAACAGTATTGTTTTCTGATTTTACACTTGTAATCATGTTGCTTTGTGATTCATTTGCATTTTGCAGTGGGATGTCTATTTTTGTTTTTCTTTCACTCTCTTCGCTGTTCTTGTAAGATTTCCTTCCATTCGTCTTGCCTTTTCGTTGTGTTCTTTTCTTTTCTTGTGACGTTTTAACTATGTCATTGCTTGTTTTTATTTTAAAATTTATAGTTTTGACCCTTCTACGATTGGTTGGCTTGTCACATGAATATCTTAATTTTGAAATGCGAATGTTTTTTCTACTGCATCTTTCATTATTTTCACTTTCCTCACACTGGAATACCTCGGTCTTTTTCCTGTTTCTTCTTTCTGCTTTTGCAGTAATCAACATAATATTATAGAGTTGATTCCCTTTTCTTTCATACTTTTTCCTTTGCACATTCAGTTTCTTGGATTTCACAGGTTTGACAATTGCTTCACTTTCCTCAACTTTGCACACATCTGTCTTTTTCCTTTTTTTTTCTATCTGCTTTTGCAGTAATCAACAGAATATTGTACCGTTTTTTCTCTTTGATCTGCTGCTCCTTTCTCTGCACATTCACTTTTTTAGCTTTCACAGGTTTGAACACATATCCACCCAAAGGTTCTTCAACAAGGACATTTTCATCCGAAGATGGCTCAACTTGGATTTTCTCACCCAAAGGTGGTACAACATGGTCATTCTCACCCAAAGGTGACACAACAGGAATATTCTCACCCGTAGGTGGTTCATCAGGTTTGATCTCACCCAAAGGTGGTTCATCAAGTTTCATCTCACCCGAAGGTGGTTTCAATCCTGTTTTAAGGAGGGCAGGATCCTCACAGTCACTTATCCTGTTTTTATCGAGGCCAGGATCCTCGAGTCCGTCAACCGTCATGCTCAATCCTGTTTTTAGGATATCGGGATCCTCACAGTCCCTTATCCTGTTTTTAACGAGGCCAGGATCCTCGAGTCCCTTACCAACATTCCTCTTCGCCAACCCTTTGCGCCAGTTCTTCTTACGTGGCATTCTCAGTCTGCAAATATCAATAAGAAATGTTTGTTAAACATTTATGCTCCCCACACATTCATCTCTACTTAATATCATAGGTCACCTGGTGACTTTTGATATTTTGACCTGAAAATCAATAGGGGTGATCTACTTCCAATTTCAAACCCACACGACTATACATATAGTTTATTTCTTGTTTTTGAAATATGAACAGAAACATCATTCAGACCTTTGAACCAGTGACCTTCATCTTTGGCCAGTAAGTTCTTGTTTAATTCTGAAAAAAACTTTGCTTAATCATGTCATAACAAAATATTCATCAGTGAAAAGATACTAAATTTGACCTTGACCTGTGATGCAGCAATCTTGACCTTTGGCCCAGTGACTTTGACCTTTGGTAATTGTACTACTCATTTCTTTGCTTCAACTTTGCTTGATCATGTCATAAGATATTCCTTAGTGAAAAGATACCAAACTGGACTTTAAACTTTTACCCAACAGTATTGACCTTTGGCACAGTGACCATTTTATTTCTCATTTGATTCTGACCCATTTGTCTTCATAATGTCATAACAAAATATTTATCAGTGAAAGATTCAAAATGTGACCTTGACTTCATGTTTATTATTCTGACTTACTTTACTTCATAACGTTATCAGAAAATATTTAACTGCTAAAATATAACAAATATCAAATTTAATCTTTGATTTGCACCTGGGGGTTCAGTAGAGCCGATATAATCCCAAACTGTATCAAATCTAACACTGATAATGCTAAACAAGTTTGAATGAACAATATGCAAATTAAACAAATAATGGACAAAAATGTGATTTCCCTATATAAACTATAGTAAAGTTTACCCCCTCCCAGACAAAGGGCAATAACTGTTTACTTGGTCCTGTTAACAAACTATAAGGCCACATACAAAGTTTTGATATTATCGATTCATAAACATTACTTTCAGTTATTTTGTTCACAAGGTTTAGGTATAATAAAATTGTAATAAAAAGTAATTAATGAATAAGTTCTGTTATCAACCTTATCAAAGAATTATTGTTATAAGGCTACAAAGCTTCATCAAAATTGGTTCATTAACAGTGGACATTTTGTGTTCCTTAAAATGAACTACATTTTACAACATCTACATGTAAATTCACAAAAAAAATTACCCTATATAACAAGTAGTGTAAAACTAGTAAACTTTACCACTATCATATGGGTAAATTAAGATAATGCTCTGTAGAAGTTTTAATCTATAGCATCTACAGTCATATCATAAAAACACAACTTGTTAAAAAAAATCTTTACCCTATATTACACAGAGATGATTGTGGTCATCAATGAAAATATCTGAAACTGTTTCCAAAATATCTCGCTATACATATACCCCTTTCTAAAAAGTACATTTTCTGATATTTCATACTGAAAACAGAACATTTTAAGAAAAGATTTTTGCAACAAAATAGCTGATATCAGATGAATATCTGATCAAAATCATGCCTGCATTACAAGTCCTTTGTACCCTGTATTACACTGGCGTAATAGACAGATGTAGGAATGGAATCAGAGTAACACAGAATGTCCCTGACTTAAGTGTTATCGTAACAGACAGGTGTAGGAATGGAATCAGACTAACACAGAATGTCCCTGACTTAAGTCTTATGGTTGCATGCAAAACAGTTAATGAATCAGTTGATGATATTCTATACATAACAACTCCAACCTTGACCTTGGAAAACTGAAATACAAAAATGTATGTGCAAAGTTTTCTATATTTCCCTTTTCATTAAAATCTGTTAAGAGTGCAGTTTGCTACAGCAATGAACATGAGCAATTTGCTACATGACACTTCCTCCTACCATTTCATGTTATTGAAATACAAAAAGTTACATTCTCACTTCACAGTAATGTAATTCTTAACATTTATGACGAGTGTTTTAGTATTTTTCTCATTAATCAGTCTTATCTATCTTAACAATTATTGTGAATTATTGGCCCATCAGTATTCACAAGGGCAGATAACTTAGCATTAAGAACACACAAAACAAGACAATTCAAACAATTACAGCCTCCCCCCCTCCCACCGGATGTTAGAATATTAGCGTCCTGCAGGTAAACATCATGGGGAAATCAGCATTTAATTGTACTTTTGCTTACAGAAAACTGACAGTACAATCACCGTGGGTTTCTGACAATTGC